CTCCGCGGCACCTGCCCCCGTACTGCCTGGGGGACAGCCCAAACTTACTGCTGCAACCCAGAGCCCGTGCCCGTCACCAGAGCAAATCCAGCAACTTTCATCTTTACAAGCCTTCCATAAAGACTGAGTAGAAAACACAAAGTGGAAAAAAAAATTAAAAGCTGACGTAAATATATCCACTGATGTAACATAAAAATTAGGATGCAAATGAGAACTTGGAATTTCTCGGAGAACAAGAGCTTTCAGAATTAGTCCTAAAAATTATTTATAAAACTTAAAAGAATTACACACCTGAGGCATCTGATAAAAAAAATGAATGGTCACCTCAGAACAAAGCCTTTAAGAAAAACCCACTGAGCTGAACAGCATCTACTATTCAAAAAGATTACTTATTGGTTCACAAAGTGGATCCTCAGGGAGTCAGGAACACACAACAGCAGTTGTTAACCACATCAAACTGAAAATAACTGGTGGAAAACAAGAAAGGACGGGAAAGAGAAAAGAGACACTAACAAAAAAAAAAAAAAAAAGACTGAGAGAACATTAGATATTAACATCCTGCAAATGAACCAATTACTCACACTTATTCTCTGTTACACAAGCATCCTTCCTAACACAAGTGGCCAATCTACTTATTTTTAGGAAAACAGTCACTGCCAGTACCACCACAATTCATCTTAACAGAAGTATTAAATACAAAGCCCAATTCTCAAAAGCAATGAAACTAGGATGGTTTTATACGATGCTGTCTTTAATTCACTTCTTACTACCCTCAAGAGAAATATTAATCCCAATTTTTACCAACGCTTTCTGCTGATATGCATCTTTCCTCATGACAGGACCTGAAAAGCAGAAAGTGTTCCAACTGGCTGCAGAGTTACAATTCAAGTTTAAAAGACACACTCCTGATTTATTAGGTGTACTAAACTCTGCAAAGCTCCTTCTCCAAAGATGCAAGATTTCTTCTAGTCCTTAATGTTTACTTTTTATTCTTTCATGGGGATTTACACAAAATACAGTGAGCTGAAGCCCCGGAACCCCTAGACTGTCAGGTTTTCTGCTAAAACTGTCAGCTACAAACCCAGTCAGGACTGCAGCAGCTGCAGAACAAGCCCTTTGAAGCTTAGACTGAAACTGCTATGAAGAAAGGAAACAGCAGAGGATGATTCTTTTTATTTTTTTAAGCTTTTACTCACACATATTCACCTACTACTATGTGGATAGAAAGAAAGCCCCTTCTCTTGGTTCATTAGTAGTTGTTCTTTGTACGAGTCTTAGCCAACGCCAAAGGAAACTTCAAAGGCCTCACTCGTCAAATGTCACAGCTTGTGCTCAACATGAAACTGCCGGTTCGGATCTGGTTGCACAGCTCCAGCTGACGCTGAGCTTGGGAGTGGATCCGTATTACAAAGTCATTGCTAAGCGATTGTGTAAGAAAAGGGCAAAGTCACAGCAGTGGGTTAGATGAAAACTTGAACAGCCTGTCAGCAGTATGATCCCAACACATGTTCATGCCTCACGTGACAGCATCTTCTTTACCCTTCTTTACTTTGTTTGGTTTTTAATACCCTTATCTGCACACATGACACTTGCAACTTAAAAAAAAACCAAAAAACCAAACAGATCAGATCTAACGCAGACTACTTAAGACTGCATCAGAGCTGAGGTCTGTATTTCATTTTCTGGTTATGCTCCATAACACGAATATTCTGTAGTATTCTACTGCCACCAGTGTGTAAAAGGAAAAGAAAAAAGGTAACAAGCTAACATTGACGGTAGAATAAACAGAGGAAATGATTCATAAAGGAATGAAGCCAAGAGACTATATCAAATACTAAACCAATAAAACCTTTGCAAATTATCTTTTAGGAAAAAAAATGTAACTGGAATGCAATACAGAAAAAATAAAAAGGCTTAAGATTCTGCCTAGATTTTGTCAGAATAAAAAAAACTGCACGCTCAGTAACCAACACAATACATCAAAATTTGTATTAGTGGTATATATTTGTGATCTATCAGGTAATTCCTGGTAAATACTTCTTGCAAACTCTTAAGTGGCTCAAGTTCAATCCTACATGACATTTTTTCTCTTCACAAAAGCTTTTAAAGCAATATTAGGCACAAACAAGGTCATTCATGACTGATTCAGAAGGATTAATCATGTTTATAAGCTTGGTTTAGATACCTCCCAACACCAAAAAGAATAAACCAGGCTGTGTTAGTCCCATCTTTCCCTAGCTATTTTACCTAAGAGTGCAATCTGGGGTGTCAACAGCCATCACATTCCCAAAAAGCACAGAATGGATTAACTAACACTGAGCAAGTTAAGAACATGCACTCACATTCTTTCATTCAAGGCTCATTCTTATACTAATTTGGGACAATCTGGGTAGTAACCATTCAAAGATTCCATAATTTGTGAAGTGTTCTTAACAGTGTCAGAAATAGATGTGTGCAATGTTTATAAGATTCTTTAAATAAAATCAGACTTAACTAGTTCTTGCAGCACAGACCCTCCAAAACTGCATTTTTAAAAAGCATTAACATTTTTAATTAATAAATCCACTTCAAGCTGTAATTCTTCAATTTGTTGTAGCAAAAGAGATCTCTATCATACCAAGAAGTACTGACCTCAGAATTTTCTTTAAGGAATTTATTAAGCACTCCACATCGCTATCTATACAGCTATACTACAATTTTCCAGCACTATAAAGTCCATTCTTTCTTCTCCATTACTCTCTATAAACTCTTCCAAAGTGGTAATTAGAAACTGAGAACTGAAGTATTTTTTTGGAAAATTGTATCTGAATACAGTGCAATGAATAACTTAGTTTTACATGAGACCACTTAAAAATGGTCACACATGTTACAGGTGTGGGGCAGTATTCCATAAACTGGTGCTGTGTGCTTCCATTCCCAGGTGAACACATTCTCAAAGACTCTCTCAAGCCAAAGTAGAACTATTCAGCTATTAAACCAGCATGTTCCCATCTCTTCCACTTCACAGATTTAAGTTAACTGGAATTGCCATGATAATGTACTATAGCTTTCATTAAATATCAGTCACAAGGATAACATTCCTCTCTGTGCATGAGCGCCCATTTCCCAACATTGGGTCCATGCGTCCAATTCTGTCATGTGTCAGATACCTAAAAAAGACTTCATATACTGGCACCAAACTAACTCAAAAGCTGAAAATCCCAACCAGTCATCTGCTGTTTCAGAACAGTAAAGTCACCCAGAACCTACTGGTCCTTTTAATTGTCCACAAATTAGAAACCCACATAGGTTAAGTTTTCATCATGGTTTTTCACCAGCAAAATGTCTGCTATTTGCCAAAAGCTTTTTTATTTTTCAGAGAAAAAAACAGATCAAGTGTCTAAACTAAGGAGTCACAAAATTAGCTTAAGATATATATGGTTAGTACTAACTTGCATGATATAGATAAAAATCAAGTATGAAAATAAAACATGAAATACACCAAACTGTGTAGGATATTTTTAACTATGAGGATGAGAGTTACTGGTATCTTTAGAACAGAGTAGACTACTTCAGTTGGAAGGGATCTACAATGATCATCTAGTCCAACTGTGTGACCAGTTCAGGACTGACTAAAAGTTAAAGCACGTTGTTAAGAGCATTTACCAAATGCATCTTAAAACACTGACAGGCTTGAGCCATCAACCACCTCTCTAGGAAGCCTGTTCCAGTGTCTGACCACTCCCCCTCAGTAAAGAAATGCTTCCCCATGTCCAGTCTAGACCTCCCTCAACTACTTTAAAATCAATAAAACTGCTATCCACTACCTTGTCGTTTACTGTTGCTCAAATCAAAGGTGTTGCTCAAATCACACCAAGATAGACAATAATTTACATAAATTTATGGGTGGAAAAATACTTCATCCCTGGTATAGCAGACTATTTAAATCCCTTTTTTTTCCCCCCTCCTAGAGGACAGTCTCATGAAACATAAAAGATGCAACAGAAATGGAAGTACAGTGCTAAATAAACTCTACCGTAGAAGCACATCTTCCTTTACATGTTCCCAATAGGTGGCAACAGAATACCAAAAATATTTTATAATTCTTTCTTCATCCCCAAAGTAATGGAAGTCCAGTTACCACTTCTATCAATGAACTCGCACCAGCAATTGTATTCAAATGAATCAGTGCATCTCACAACAGAAATTCTCGGGACAGTAAACGTCAAAAGCCAGAGAATTCACAGAACAGAAACAAAGCATTTATTAAAAAGCTAGTTGTTATGAAACAACTAACTGATGGCTTATACGCAGAGCTTATCTGAGGGAGTAAACTATTACAAACAGGAATTTACAGTAACAAACCATTTCTGCATGTTAAAGAAAAAATGTTAAGGAAGAAAGAAAATTTTTGACTAATTTTTTTGTTGTTGACATCCACACCTTGGTCTTTAGTAGTATTTATTTACAAGACTGAATAAAGGGGGGAGCATTTTTAAACAAAGTTTTCAGCTGACAAACCCTAACTTTTATCATTAGCAGCAGGTCCACACTACTTCCCTGATTCTCTGTAAGAAATGAGAGGAAATCAGAGCTCTTTCCTTGACAGTTAAACAACTATTTTGTTCCTGTGGCACAGGTCTAAATAAAGACTACTTACTTGCTTTCAAAACCAGCTAAGTCACTGTCCAAAGAAATTGTCTCTGTTGTAATTTCCACCTTTCTCACGCTGCCAAAGAAGTCTGTTATCAGAACATTTTGCGGGTCTCGCTGAAAGAGATCAGTTCGGTGCCCAGGTGTCGAAACACACAAACTTTTTGGACAGACCTGAAACTGGAAACCAAGATGGACAATCATATCCTGTCCCTCATTCATCAATAGTCTCTACATATATCTTCTAAAATCAAATCACTATAAAAAAGAAAGGTAAATGTCACATTTCAGTACAAGCTCCACAGCTGAAAATACAAGCAAAAACATCAAAAGGCATAAACATCTTGATTATGTATTTCAGAAAATCTTTATCCTCACAATTATTCCATTTGAGTTTAGAAATGCTTCTGTGAAAGCCAACCATCAATTATATCTAATTAATTTAATGCACAAATGTATTTCTGAATATAGATGCATCAATGCTGCTATAACCTTCCAAAAAGCACAAGCAGGTATAAATTCTTCATATTTACCAAAAGGAGGCAGGCAAGATTAAGCCTTGATAAGAAGACAATAGTAGAGGCTTCATAAATAAGCAAGAGTTTACATTTTGATTGAAAGGAAAAAAAATCTTATTTTTATTCCTAGTTATGCCACAGTTACACCATTAAGTCTCTCTTCCAAGCTCTCAAGAGAGTGTAAATGTCCCAAAACAACCGCATCAGCACTGAAAGAGGGAAATTGATACTGCACCCAACTATTTCTAACCTGTCCCACAACAATTTACTACCACAAGATGTCGAGATGAATCTTGAACAAAAATGTGCAATGGCACTGAGAAGATTTCAGTATTAAAAATCTACCTATCCAGTATAAGCATGAGAAAAGAAAGACTGTAAAGCAATTACACCACAGCAGAATAACACTAATACTTGAGGTCTTCTGCCAAAATAAGAAAAGGCAAATGCTGGCTAAATTAAACACATTTGTTCATATAACAGTTTTTCCAAATTTTTTAAAATAAGATACTATTCAAATAAAGCTAAACAATTCCCCAAAATGGGAACTTTGTTATATTGGCTTTTCTTAACAACATTTTTGGCTATTTTATGACAAATGATATCTAATTTAGAAATTTATTTGAATCTTATTTTAAAAGTTCATTTGTGTGACATTTCAATTTAGTCTTTACTTTTTTGGAATTGTGATCAAACCAAATGTCAGTCATTTGCAGATTTATGCTATCCCTTAGCAACACAGATGGAGCAGGTGGGGAGTAGGTGGAGTGGATTATGAAAAAAGATGTCTCATTCTTTGCATTTCCAAATCTTAGGTGGATGTGAAGAGAAGCTGTTTCAAGAGTGGCTGCAGAAAAGTAAAGAGGTGATGGGATAGAAGCAGTGTAACAAATACACAGTACTTCTAAAAGAGCAGACATTTGACATATCAGAAGATCAAACAACTAAACATTAGCTAATAAATTTAAAGCTAATTAATGAGCCACTTAATACATTATCCTGAATTTGGAAAGCATTAATTTTTTATAAAATCAGACTTGAACAAGCAGCAGGTCTTTGTTCTCAAACCAACACAACACTAACAGTGCATTCCAGCGCCAAAGTATCCCCTGTAACTGCTGGCAAATAAATGGGCTTATACCCTTACCACAGACTAACCATATGTCATTTTGGAACTCTTAGATGAAGGCCTGAAAAGCACCAACTCAAAACCAGGAGGTCACGTTTGCTGAAATACGTTCATATTATGACTCACTACATGATCACCATAAATCATTGCATATATCCATTCTCTTCCCTTCCCAGAGCAACAAGAAGCAGATCGATGTATGATAAGATGACTTACACGATATAAGGAATTTACCAGTATGGGATAACTTCCCATGGCTCTTCCCGAATATTGGGCATACAAGCAAGAACAAAAACGCAAGGGAGAATGTTTAGGTATCTTCTCTGATGAGCTCAAAAGATAAACTACTTGGCCAGCTAACAAGTCTTCCATGCTTTTCACAACAACGGGATTAATATCTATCTGGCTAGACCAGTTACATAAATTCCCAGGTGGTGTCTTAGACAGTAGAAATCAGTGTTAATTTCTTATTACTTTTTTTTTAACATTATTTAATTTTCTGGTTTACAGAAAAGGGTTCTAAAGTGCTGTTGGAATGAACTGGCGAGAAAAAGATACTTAATCAATAAAGAACGTGCATGTTCTTCTTTAACTTGCAGATTTATTTTAAAGTTTCCTGTATCCCATGATCGGAAAGTATTAAATTACAGGACAGAATTCACTCCCATGGTAGTAAAAGAATTTTGAATCTTAGTCACTGAATCAATTCTGCATCAACATAAAATCTGTCAAGTGTGGGCTGTTTAGAGTGAATTCTACTACACATCTAGCAGCCAGGCTTACACCATCCTCTGTAGACAGAGGGTAGCATAAAACTTGAGCAGCTGCTCTTTCACAGAAATGAATCGAAGACAATGTGTTCTGTAAGTGGAGGCTCTTAGATCACAAACACAGAACGTCAGGATTTACAGCTACAAGGCACTAAAGCATAATGTATTACTACATTGAAACAAGTATTGGAACAGGTATACAGGGTTAATAAATAAAATATGGTTACTTTTTATGTCATCTCACCAGTGTATACATGTAACTGTTATAGAGGCACTGTCATAAGTTATGTGGTTGAGGATTTTTTCCCTCCTGCCTCATACCTGAAAGCTACAATTAATATTTACCCAAGATATAATTAACTCCAAACACTGATGGATTTGGACATAGCTTGCTCTGGAATCTAAGCAGATATATAGAGAAATTAGTCTCTGCAGGCATTTGTGAGTGCACAGTTAGAATTTTAACTGTTTAGTCACCTTTGCAAAACAATATCAATAGCTACCTTTCCACATCTGCAAAAGTGTCTGCTATCCATTAAGCTGATTTTAGAAGCTTTCTACTCTCATTTTTCACATGCAGATACTTCATTCTATTGAAATAAATAATTAATACTTTATTCATTTTTCAATTAATTAAAAAAATAATCTGGATAAATTTTGTTAATTTTTTTCTGTAGCCAGCAAAACCACTTTCACACTGAGGACAATCCTTAAGTGTTACACATTTAACAATGGCAAAAAGACCCTCCCCACCAAAGCTGCTTCCTAGAGAAACAGTAGGAGAACAAAAAGCATTTGGAGAACACTACGGACAAAATAAATCTGTTTTGAAACTGTTAAATTCATTAGCATGTTCACAAATGTTGAGCATTCTACTTACTAGGTCATTCATATTTGTCTGACTGGCTGGATGAATTTCTTCCAAGAACTCTAGCACGTAAAATGTGTATCTGTCCATAAGATGAACACCAATCCCAAGATCAGGCTGATGCTTAAAAACAACACACAGCAGTTATTGGGCATTTGCAGGAGAGAACTCGGTATTTAGGAGAGGGAACAGAACGTAACAGCATGTTAGAAAAGATAAGCATAATTTTTTTTTGTTCTTAGGCAAATTAAGCGATTAGCTATGAAGAAACATTGTTGACAAGCTGAAGAATACAGTTTATCTTCATTTTTCTACACTATATCCTGGTAATCTCCATGTTTGCCAGAAAGCAGGGAACCCCTTCTTTTTAATGGTCCAGTACAGATCTGGGGGTTGCCCCAAGCTTCTTAGGACTTGGAAAATAGGGCTGGGAGAGACAGCCTATCTTACAGCACTGTGTGGGTTTCAAGTAATCCTGACTTGCTAGTTTTGGTCTGGCTTGGATGTTTCTCCTATCACTCCTCCTGTAATTCAGCTGGGATATAATTACAGCAGGTGGAAAGTAGTGGGTATTTTTATATATATATATATATCTCAAATGTATGAAGTCCTAGATTGAATATTCCCCACACATATATCTCAGTAGTCTTTCCACAAAATCTCTTCCTATCCTAGGCAATGCATAAATGGGCTAGCGAGCACAGAAATCCATCGTTAACCTGGCTCTTTGGGACAGGACACAAAAAAAACAAGCAGGAAAAGTACATTTACAAGTTTTGTCAAAGCCACACTTTGCAATTAAAACCTTACATACTCAGCAATTAGAAGGGAAATTTTTAGTTAAAAGTCAATAGGAGCTGTGCTTTTAACTCAGGCATTCTGAAAACTGTCTTCAGGATCACAAAAATCTACTTACTGATAAAGAATCTTCTCCAACTTGGCTGCTAGCCAAGGCCATTATATTAGGAGAATAAAATCGTTCATACATGGATGCTCCTTGACAAGTATCAATAATAAACAACAATTCATTGTACCTGAAAGAAATAAAACAGCCTCCTTACTCCTCTCTTTAAATTGAAACAACATATACATACTTTGCTTTTTAGTTATCAGGACAGCTGCTAGGAACTGCAGGGACAGAAGAGTTCACACATTGATTATAAGATGCCAGTGTAGACAAAGCAACACCTCTGAGCAGCTGTAACTTCAGGAAGATGAAAACAAAAATTAAAACTCTTCTTTCTGAATGCAAACTTCAATGAAATTTCATGAACAACAGATAATACCACCACTGAAGGTAAGCAAGGCCTACTGGCAAGACTTCAAGCATGTTCGTGAAATACAGTATTTAACCTCTAATTAATGCTTTTTTCTTACCTTCTTTTCTGCCACATTTGTTCAAAGGCATCAGCAAGTTCTACATTTGTGATTTCTTCAGAATCCTGAAATTTCAGGAAACCATTTCCACCATGGCCTGACAGAAAAATCAGAAGTTAGGCAAGTATGTAGGTAAAGTTTCAGCCTAGTTGACCATTTTTCTAAAAAAAGGCAAACACAATTCTCTTTCTCCAGACTCCAGCAAAAGAAAATATTAGTATAGTAAGAACAGTACATATACATCATTTAAACTGGAAACTATACTTGCTAAGTACTGCCTTACAGGTATTTTCTTTATCAGTATAACATGCTAAAAAAAGAAAAGAAAAATTCTTTTGTTGATCCTTTTGTTTGTGTGGACTCCTTATGGGATTCCATACTGTCAAATGGGCCCATCCAACTGAAAAACAATCATCAATAAAATGTATACAGAAACCTGTCGTTACCTGTCATATATATTAGAATATTGCTTCTGTCATCAGAAAGAAGACGTTTAGATCTTGGTGTGCTTGGTGGGATTCTTCCTGTTAATACACGCAAAAAATTTTCAACAGTAACCTATGAACAGAAGCACAAAGTAATTTTGTAAAGAGAAAAATACTGATTACCAACTCTAGGCTGGGTTACATAAATTAAATAACAGAACACCAAAATATGCAGTGTACCTAACCAGATGTGACATTGCATGGTATCAACTGCATGAGCAGACATTTTCTGTTTAAGGTTTTACTGCAGGTTCACAGTCCTATTGTACCTTTTACTTTAGCTCACTAACACCAGCCTGTTGCTTTATTATATCCAATAAGTCTACTATCATTATAATTTCTAAATACACTTTAATTGATCTGAAAACCTGTCAGCATGTAGCTTTATTCTGCCAAAGCTGCTCATGTATTCACAAAATGTTCCAACATCAGAGTGTGTTACCATGGAAAAATAAAAGTTTAAATTCCCTCTGCAACTCAGGAAAGGAAAAACAAGATCAATTTTGGTTACAATAAGTCCTTGAGTGATCAGGTAAGACCCATCTGGATGGCAATTGTAAAACATCCTATAAAACACCACTTCCCCTTCATGCAGATATACACAGCTCAAACACTAGCAAGAAATCCATACTCAGGAAAAAAAACATGATAGAAAGAGCATATCTCTATTTTAGTGTTGTGTCTTCACTTTTTTATACAAAGCTTCAGAGAAATAAAACATCCACTATACACCTCAATATGGTCCTATAAACCTTTAGTAACGATAACATAGCACTATTAAAGCATGCAACTCATCCAATTTAAGATCAACTGTCTGTTTGAAGGAATATTATATAAAAATGAAAAGGTAACAATGTAGATTTCTACATAGTAATTACACTAGATTATGTCTTTTGTTTTATTTTGATAAAAGCATATGCTTAAGATTAGAAATGTAAGTAGGTATCCCTAATAAACATTTAGCTTGCATGCCAGAAGTTTCACAGTGGTGGCAAGCATTTGCAAGATGAGACACTGACTACCCATTTCCAAAGAAGAGGAAGTTCAGTAATATTTGTGTATTCCTAACACATACAAGGAGTTACAGTGGAGTTTCCATTATTTAAAATAGCCAATACACAAAATGTTTCCAATATAATAAATTTAAAATACAAAACAGAGCATCAAAGGGGAGAGGGGTGTATGTTTTAAAACTATCCGTTCATAACAAAAGCCCAGACCAAAACCAGTAGTGTGAATAGTAAGACTTCCTCAGGCTTCACAGATGATGTATAAACCTTTAAACCAATGCTAAAAACAAAGAACCAATGATTTAATTAAAGTGCAGTCACCTCATAGCTTCTGTAATCCACTTCCACATCATCTCCATAGACATTTAGCTCCATGTTTTTATGGCTAAACACAGTAGCTGGTTTGGGATTTCTGGGATTGCATGCCATATCATCTGCTAGCATCAGGACAATGTGACTATGGAAAATAAAGACAAAAACATTTCAGCACTTCTACTTTCACATAACAGTCAAACAAATCACAACAACACTGTCCCGTGATTACAACAATAGCTCATAACATTAAGAAGATTCCTGGAACTGTAAATGAAACTTTTCTTAGTTATACCCTATTATGTACATCCTCACTATTATGAAGACAGCAGACATGGAAATGCAGCTAGCCGTTATTTATCTAGAGGATGAAATTAGGCCAAAGATGAGCACAAGAGTAGTTGACATCAGCAACTTTGTGATACAGACTTGCCAGGGCTCAGGCTGGTAGAACTCTTTATAAAAAAGCTGGAGATTTTTACAGGGTGGTAAATCATTTCATGCAGCTCCACGGAAGAAATCCCAGCCTGTTTGCACCCTCTCAGACAGATCAATTTAAAAAATTATGACAATTTTTAATTAAATTTGAGGCACTCCTGAATATTTCTCAAATCATTTTACTACATCTGATACACTACTGTATGATTATCTGTGTTAATGGAATTTTCCTGCAGAATACAAGTGGGCTGACACCAGATATTTTGTCTGCATTTCATAGTACCAAGAAAAAGAAAACCAGCACATTATAAAGCTGTTCCAAATTACATGCAGCCAAAAATCTGTATTTCACCTGGCAGGGTCAGGTTTGGGTCAAAGTATGAAATAACAAGTAGTCAGTGGAGACTGTTAGCAGTAGGATGAACATGCCAGAGATATCTGGAACAAGGTGAAGTCAGTCCTCTCCTTGGATCATCCTGTCTTGGATATAGTTTCTCCTGGACTATGATCTGTGTTCTCCCACACAATGCTTACAAAAGGAAAGCTCTGTGTCCTGCAAAGAATGCTGCTAATTCAGACTCTCAGACACACCGTTATAAATTAAACTGTGTCCTGCAATTTAAACACCATTCCTGTGCTTATCATTGATCACCTGTATGTCTGCGTGAGCACTTTAAAAGGTAAAGGTATTCTTTATTAAGTACTAATACACACCACACTGCACAAAAAGGAAAAAAGAGAGAGAGAGAAAAATGCTGTCCAAAATAACATAAGCATACATCGTCAAAAATAATCAAAGTAAATTATTTCAATGGGAAAAAGATGCTGGCATAAATATGAAGCTGCAATGACAGAAGCCAGAGGAGGACAACTACAGAGGAGAAATAAAGATATTTTTTTTCTCCACACATGCACAGCAGTATAAAACTACTTTTATAGAAGAGCATCATTAAAAGATAATTAGTTGGAAGAAAGTGTTGAATAGATGCCTTGCAGATTTACTGAGTCAGCTAGGTGTACAACCATTTCTTGTATTACACTCAGAAGAGAGTATTCCAGACTAAGTCATCACTAGGGCTACAGTTTCACACGATATTTTTGCTACCAATGTGTCTATTAAAAATAAAAAAAATTAATAATCACACATCCCTCAGTAAAAGGTTCTGCACTGCAGCACTACAGACAGGTGAGCACAAACGCGCAAAGTTTGTGTACTGTAAAAGGTATGAAATATCCCACAGTTAAACAGAACCGTTGTGTACAAGTGGTTCATACAAGCAACAAAACAATCTGGGTGTTAACTTGCAGCTTAACTGTTAAACCAAAATAATCTGATCATATATTATATTAATGTTATTTTCATGAGGTAAAACTTATACTGCATAACGACTCCAGGAATCAAAAAGAATTTCTGGATTCATTTCTGGCTTTATTTCAGCAAATCTTTTTGTTTATGAATTGGAGCCTTGTGCCCACACGTCAGCAAACCAGAGCAACTTCCAGTTATAAAACCACAAACCATTTTCCTAATGAGTTCTGTTGTTGGATGACAAACCTACTTAAACCACCAAACTGACGCAGTTCCATTCAAAATGAGGCTATGGGCAAACTTGTCCAAAAAAACCCCAACCACAAGAATCATGATGTTTCTTTTAAGATGTGACTTTGGGGAGGTTTTTTGTCTTTTCAATACTTCGAACAAAGTTTTGAAGTGTGTCTAAGGGAGAAATCCACTCAAATCCACGTAAAAATTGCTGCAAATGGGGAAAAAAAATAGTCTCTCTCTCTCTCTCGCTAGATCTTCTCCAATGTCTTATTCTTGACCTTTGCCTAAAGCACTGCTGGCTTGAGATTAATTTCCAGATCCTTGGGTATGGATAAGAAACTGAGCAGGCTACTGAACAACAGAAAACTCCAGCCATCCTGTAGTTTTTGCAGTATTTCTAAACTGCCACCTATTTTGACCTTAGTGGTGAAGATGGATGGATGCAGAGAAGATTGAAGTTCTCAGGTAAGGGTAGAACTAGTGAAAAAATTTCTAAAGAAGTGCCTAGGGCATCTATGCTTCAAAGACTATACAGAATAGAAGATACATGTTTCTGAATGAGACGTGGAAAAAATGCCGTATCTCTGTGGCTTTCAGGCCATGGTGCTTAGGCAGTACATTCTCTTGGATTTATAGCCCCCCCACACTTCCAAAAATTGGGTTTTAACATCCCGTCTTTCAAAAAAACTTGAGAAGTCACTCTCTTCTTTTTAAAAACAAAGACAGGAAACCAGATGCTACTGCCACCGCATTCACGGCTGAGGGGAAGCTAAGTGGGGATGCCACATACTACGCTTTTGGACTTGGACAAAAAAATCCACACCAATTTAAACCAGCAGAATACGCATTTTGCAATGATGGTGTGGGCCAAACCCCTCCAGGCAGACATGCTGGAGAAACTACCAGTCCTCTAAACTAACAATAAAAACCAGGACCACCAGGATAGGAGCCCCTGGATACACATAGCCTCTTATTCAAAGGATGTTGGTGCCTAAAATTCACTTCCACCGTTCTGGTACAAGCAAATTACATGCCAAAACAGCTGGATAGAACTGTGCTAATACCCCCAGAACTTTCAGTAGGTACACAACTAAAAGACACTTCAGAACAGTTTGTTCACCTTCCTAATCCTGTTGCCAAAGAAGGGATACTATTTTAACCATTGTGCTATTTCTAGAGAGGGTCAGTTTGATGGACAAAACTTCTGGTTTCTCCAAAAATATAATGCAAAACGGATTTTTCAAGGCTACTTTCAATATGAAGCAGCAGTTTTGTTCAGGCCCCTTAGAGACTCTCAGTGTAGATGCAGATGGGGAAGTCGTACATTTTAGTACACTTAGGGTTTTGCTAACATCTCCACACTGAAAGGAAATTGAAGAACAGCAAAAGCCGTATCTCAGAGTACTACTGTCATTGCTGAATGCATTTATCAATTTCCACATTATGCCTTCACCAATTTACTAAGTGGTACATTTTAGTGCCCAGTGCCTCATGTTTTAATCTAATTAGCCCATTACAACTGGAAGTTTTATTAGGTAACTTGTTGCTTTTCTGTTTGAACTATATTGATGCACTTTTCAATACGCTGATGTGACCATATCCTTCATTTTTACTTTTATGCAGTTAAACAGGGATGAGAAATATATTCTTATTCTGCTTCAGACAGCAAGACAATTTTAACAGCACATTTACAAGGAATTGTATTCACCAAGACGCCCTCACCTATCA